CGGTGGGACGGGAAGGCGCGCAGTCGGAGATGGGGGCGGAGGACTTGCAGTCACACGGTCGCGTGAAGTTGCTAAAGAGAGAAAGGTCGCGTGAAGTTGCTGAAGAGAGAAAACAAAAACGGAAGAATGAAAACGATTATAAATCGTTTTCAGATTTTCATATAATGACAAGAACGTTTTTATTTTTAATTTTTCAAAAATTTAACGTCAAACGCGTTTTTTAACTCGTTTTCATTTTTCATTCTCGAAAATCGTAAAAAATGAAAACGAGAAGGGAAACAAACAGGACCATAGTCTCATTTTCTAATATTATTTTTCTTGTCAGTTTGCTAGTTTAGATGCTTAAGGGTGTTTTCTTTTGTTATTCTTTTTTCAATCTCAATCAATAGATTTTTCCATTAATTGTAGTGGTTTTAGTAAGAATATGTGGTGCTCGATTATTGTGTGCCGATTTCAAAATTTAGTACACATATATTCTCTTTGAGCATGTTATTTGAGTTTTTCAATGGAACTAGTTAGTTTTATTGTAATTTGAGGTTATAAGAGTCAGAATTATGAGACGTTTGGTTCATAGATTAGAATCATGTGATTAGAATCATGTGATTAGAATCATTTTCTATTTACGTGTATTTTTGTGAGAAAAAATACAGTAGTGAATCATGAATCATGATTCAAATTATGATTTGAATCCTCCAACCAAACATCCCCTTAGTGTTTGTATTGCTTTAATTTAGAATAGATTCATATTTTTTTAGAAAAATGAAAAAAAAAAATATTTGAAGGACATTTGTCCCAACTAACCTCTTTAAGGGGCATATTTATACTAATTTGATGAGCGTTGCTACGGAGGGAGAGAGAATTAACGTATGCAGTACTAATTTTTTGGAGATGAAATTGCCATAATTGTTTTCTAAAAAAAAAAATTGCCATAATTTTATTTTGTAAACACTAAACACAAGTACTAAAATAGAAGTAAACTCCTATAACCGGTAACTTTACATGTCTATTTTCTCATTATCCAACCATACCATAACATGAAAATACGCGAATTTATGATAATATTACGATACATTTTTTTTTTTTTTTGAAGTAGGTAAAAATTATCTTGGTACTCATGAAAGTATCTTTATATATTCAAGCTTCCCGTGGTCATTTGTCAATATCAGTGTACGAAAAAACGGCTTCAAAATATTATAACTTTTATTTATATATGAATAATGCTAGTGATATTAATTTTAATTTTTTTTTTCAATATGATGTGACACGTGAATTATTATCTTTTTATTAATAAATATAATATATTTCATGAATTGACGTGATAATATTTTAAACACTTATTAATAAAAATAATAACTCACATATCACATCAATTAGTATACAACATTTAGGATTTAAATTGGTGTTCCTTACAAAGAATAATATAACACATAAAAAGTATTGTTTAATATTGTAGAAAAGAAAAAATATCTTACAATAATTATTCAACATAATGATATTTTAAACACTCATTAATAAAAAATAATAACTCACATGTTACATTAATTAGTACATGAGAGTTAGAATTTAAATTAGTATTCCTTACAAAGAATAATATAACACATAAAAAATATGGTTTAATATTGTAGAAAATAATGATTTTTTCCTAAAATACATAAATGTACATAATAACAAGAAACATAATTTTCGTAATAGTAAAAACTTTATAAAATCAATTCCAAAAAAAATTGTAAAATAATTCATCAAAGCAATTTTATAAAACAAAATTAAACAAAATTAAGTATTTTATTTTTTCCCTAGATTAGACAATACATATAATAAGCTGTGTTGTGAATGACCATACCATGCTACATCAGATTCAGATATGGAAATTAATAATAAATTAAAAAATAGTATGTGAAAATTTTTTTTCTCCCACGGTTAAAAAAAAAAAAAAAAAAAAAACTCATGAAAGAAGGAAAAAGCACTCTCTTTTACTTCTGCCAGTCTGCCTTCTCACTTTCACTCCTTCTCTTTCTCTCCTCCCTCTCTTTCTCTCTCTAACCACCATGCCCAACCACCACCACCACCTCCACACGCCACTCCGGCCACCTTCCGTCGCCGCCTCCTCCGCGTCGCAGTCGTTGACCTCAAAGGTGCTCCTCCTCCTCACCCTCCTCCCCCTCACCCTCGCCGCCATGGCCTTCGCCCTCCAATGGCGCGGCGGCCTCACCGATCCCACCACCCGATGGGCCCCACCCGGCTCCGACAAGCTCTTCCCCGGCATGGACCCCTCTCCCCACTCCTCCGCCGCCGCCGTCTCCCACTCGTCCTCCTCCTCCGACGACTGCCTCAAGCTCGGCCGCAGCGCCTCCCCCTCATTTCCGTACTTCCACGATTGGAAGTTCGATCTCGGATCCAATCTCAAACCCAAGGTCTCGTTTTTTTGTCTCAAATTTTCGAGCTTTTGGTTTGATCTTAGTGCTGTGATTGGAAATGCTAATGAAAATCATATTTATTTTTTTGGATCGGAATTTACTGTCTCTTTTTGAAATTACACGTTTTTAGGTCTTTTTCTTATATTCCGTTTTTCTTGCTCAAAATTAAAGAGTGAAGTGGCATTGCAAGTCAGGGAACTTTTTATATTTTTATTTATTTTTTTTGGAGATGAATCATTTTCCAGTGTGCGTGCATGTGTGTGTGTGTGATTTTTTTTTTTTCCCCTGATCTTTCTACGTCAAATTTCATTTTTTTCATTGAGATTTTGCATTTTATTACTTAAGCTGAGAAATCAAGAGCTAAAAAATGACAAGCAGGCAAGGCATTGTGAATTGAGTTTACCGGATCTCAGTACTGAGATTTAAAATTTTGAGTGAATCATTGTGTTTTGGGGTTATTTTGTCTCTGGATTTTGATTTTTGTGAGTCGAAATTCACCGAGTGTTTTCGACGTTTCATGTTTTAGGTCTCTTTTATTTTCCTCTTTGGTAGCTAAAAATTGAAGAGAGAAATTGCAAGTTTGGATTTTATTTAGCCCTATTTTAATCCATACAGTGTTTTCCACTGTGACTTTCTGATCTTGCTTGGTTAAAAGATTCCCTCCAGAAAGTGATAAGCGGGCAAGGGATTTTTGAACCGGTTGTTTTTCTTTTTAGCTTTCTTATGCAAGCAAAAGAAAAATTGTATCTTTTAAGTGATTATATTTTGTTTTGTATCTTAATGTATAGATATGCATTACAACAAGTACATCAGCTGGCTTAAATCAGATTCTACCGTGGATGTTTTACCATAAGGTTCTGGGTGTTTCTACTTTTTTCCTTTTTGTGGAAGGGAAAGCTGCGTCTCCTAAAGTATCTAAAGTTTTGGAATCTATTCCTGTGAGTGAATGCACTTATGCTATTAATGTATCAGTTCTGCTTCAATTATTGGTATGTTTGATGTCATAGACTTCTTTGAGCAATAATAATGTGTTGCTTTCTCAGGGGGTAAAAGTTATATACAGAACGAGAGAGCTGGAAGAGAAGCAGGCTAAGAGGTAGGTTAGTCTCGTTACTTTTATGGTTGGACCACTTCCCACACATTAAATTCGGGGCAAAAGTTGATTTTGCACTCAGTTTCGGTTTTACCTGAGGGAGCTTTATAGATTGGTTATAAATGAGGATGTAGTTAGTATAATGGTAGAATCTACTGTATTTTCACAACACTTCAGTTAGTTTAGCTTGTTTTATAACAGCTGTTTATCATTTCTGTGTGCAACTGTTCAGCCGGATATGGAACGAGACCTGGCTTTCAAGTTTCTTTTACAAGCCTTGCAACTATGAGCTGTTTGTGAAGCAATCTCTCAACATGGAGATGGCTATCGTCATGGCAAGGGTATAGCTAGATTCTCATTGCTTTTCTCTGTTTGGAAATTAGTCCTGATCGTGTCCAGCCCATTTTTTCAAATATTAGGATGCTGGCATGGATTGGATACTTCATCTTGACACTGATGAGTTAATACACCCAGCTGGTGCTCGGGAGTATTCTTTGAGACAGTTGCTGCTTGACGTGCCAGGATCTGTTGATATGGTTATATTTCCCAACTATGTAAGTGATATTGTAGAATTTCCATACATTTTGTTTTCTCTTCAGTCAAGATGCTTGCTGCTAGATAATCTAACTAATGATGGAATTTGTAATTTTTAGGAGAGCAGCGTTGAACGGGAGGATATCAAGGAACCTTTTACTGAGGTAAATGTCCTATGTTCTCCACTGTCCTTGTCTTTACTCGCTTTTATTTGATCTTACTTCAGGGCAACTAATTGTTAGTTGTTGATTATATAAAATATATTGAATTCTACGTATAACTTGGGTCTTAAAGTTGGTATGTTTTACCTATGTCTTGCTCCTTTATCTCCACAACCAGGTATCAATGTTCAAGAGGAATTATGACCATCTTCCAAAGGATACATACTTTGGGATGTACAAAGAATCAACTCGCGGTAATCCCAATTACTTTTTGACTTACGGAAATGGGAAATCAGTTGCCCGAATCCAAGATCATCTCCGTCCTAATGGTGCACACAGATGGCATAATTATATGAAAACTCCAAAGTATGATTATTTATTGTGAACCAGGAAGTGTTGTTATATATGGCTTCTTGATTGTTATAATTATATTCTGTCTACTTTCTTTTAGGGAGATCAAATTGGAAGAGGCTGCTGTTCTACACTATACATATGCCAAATTTTCAGATTTGACCTCTAGACGTGATCGCTGTGGCTGCAAGCCGACAAGGGAGGATGTGAAGAGATGCTTTATGCTGGAATTTGATAGATCTGTGAGTTAGTGCTTTATTAGATTCTTTGTTTATCTTTTCATTTTTATAATTCTACTGAAAAGGTGGTAGGTGTACTTGCAAGTTGCAAAACGTATCATGGCTGCCAATTATGTAGATCTTGATTAGCTTGCATCTGTTTCTGATTACTGTTTTATCATACTAAAACAGGCGTTTATAATTGCATCAACTGCGACCGAGGAGGAAATGATGAACTGGTAAAAGCCTTTTCTACTAATCTTCTTCATCTATTTAGTATAGAATTATCGGGGAATCCTTGGATTTGAATGTTGCAGATTTTGAGGAAACTTTTAGCATCGGTGTAAATTGTTTTGTCCTTTTTTTTATATTTTATTTTTTTATTTTAGGTACCGTGAACATATTGTATGGGGTGACAAAGACCTGAAAATGAAACTGTTGAGAAAGGGAATCTTGACTCGCATATACGCTCCCATGGTAAGCATGATAACAAAAATCTTCTCTTATCCCATGCTTAGTAGTGAAACGAATTCCTTTTTCCTTTTCCCTTCATGAAAGCTAAAAACAAAACAAATAAATTTTTTTTTTTGTTGTCTATTTTTTTTTTCCACTTTCAAATACTTTGTGCTTAGGGTCCTTCAAAATAACGTTCTAAATCCCCTCTCAGACGATAATACAAGGTCTACACGAATCGGGCGTCTTCAACTCCATCATTGCATCTGCAGAAGCAACTCTTTCAAAGCAGAAGTTTTTATCAACCATCAATAGCAGCAACACATCCAGAGCTGTTGCCTCTGAGTCCCTCCCCTCAAGGAAGATGGGCAGACTCCGAAATAACCAAGCTGCTGTGAGGAAGGTCTTAGAAGACACCGAAAGCGCTTCGATTCAAGAAGCAGCCGTTCCTCCATTGTCACCCCCTGCAAGTGATGGTGACCATTTTATCATAGAAGCATATTAATTCTCATAACATAATTGCTTATTCTTCTTTTCTTCTTGTTCTTTCTCCTTCCTATCTGGGAAGTAGTTAGTTTCTCAATGGTGTCCAATCACATTTTTTCTTGGAGGGAAGAATGAAGATAGAAAAGAAAGAGCAAGCAGACTTGTTATGGGGATTCATGTGCGGTTGGTTCTTCCCGATCATTGTCCAAGCGGTGGTAAGAGAGAGATTGATTCTAGTTGAGCTTCAATTAGAAATCTTGATGGTAATTAGTTTATTTATGTATAGAAATTAAAAACCACAGTGTCGAGTGAAATAGATATTATTATTTCTATGTTTCGGCCCTTTTAGCGAGGGTCTATAATGTAAAAAATTTGAATTTATTTCTATATAAAATTTGGCAACTTACTTTTGAAATGATGGCAATTTTTTATTATTTCATTCGTTGCTAAAATTTGTTTGCTTGTACGAGGGAAAATAGATTATTTTATATTGGTATCAGTCTGATACTTTTTAACTCGTGATGTGGATATAAAATATAAATATTAAATGGAACGAGAATGTCGACAATCAAAGGAAAACGACAAAATAGAAGAAAACGACGGAAAAGGAAAAAGACGACAACAAAATAAACGACAAAGACTAGGAAAACGACAATTAAATCAAAATGTCTTCCAATCCTAAAAATGAATGACTAAAATTGTAAACGACGGAAATTTAAAATAAACATTTCGGGCTGCCCGGCCTTAAAGGAAAAAAGGTCAGTCTAGCTCGGTCCCGATAGGCTTAAGACTCATCCGGTCCGGCCCAAAATTTTATAATGTACTTTCAAAAAATTTCTAAAATAAGAAGTATTCGGCCTGAATCGCCAGGTTGGGTCGGGCCCGGGCTAACACTGGAGGACGTCGGGCCACCTGATTAGTCCGGGCCGAACTTACAGCTCTAAAGATTACGGATCCAAAAAAACAACAATATAACTTTAATCGACAAGAAAGATACTGCAGTAAACGCCAAACGACAATGCAAACTCAAGACGACAAAAGAAAAATAAGCGAAAAATAAAAACGGAACCTGAGAATAATGGAAGTATGGAACACGATAATAAAATTATGAAAACCGCAAACAACATCAAAAATAATGACAGAAGCCTTCAAAAGACAATATAACCAAAACGCAAAACGACAAAGACAAAGTGACAGCAAAACGCAACCACATAACTACAGTAATCGTAAAACGACAACACAACTCTACGCATCAATCGCGAACCGTTCAATTGATATGTAGGCTTTGGCTGAGCTGCCACGTTGTCAATAATGACGTCATCATGATTTTTTATCTGCAGCAAAATAAAGATGAATGCATGCAACGTGGGCCATCGAGAAACGACAATGGCGAGTGCTCTCCACATCTCCAACTCCATGCCAACCTCTCTTTCTCTCTCTCTATCTCCATCCACCCACCACGACTATCGCCGGCCCACCACCGCGGCGTTCAAGTGCCACCGCTTCCCGGCCTCGCCGGCGATTCGCTTTCCGCTGAAGAGCAGAGACAGAGCACAAAGAGGCCTAAGTGTGGTCACCCGTGCGGGTCCCGGCACCAGCAGCTATGTCTTAGCCTTCGTTTTGCCCTTCTCTCTCGTCGTCATCACCGTCTTGACCTCCATCAGAATTGCCGACAAGCTCGACAGAGACTTTCTCGAGGAGGTATGGGTTTTGTTGTTTGTTGGTTCTCTGTTTTTGGTCGGAACTGGGAATTGTTCTGTTAGTGCCTTCCATTTGTTTGATAAAAGTCCTGACTTGTTTTTTGGCATTTATTTCGTCTTGAATAAAAGCTAAAAGCCTCGATGGTTGTAAAGTATGTCGTGTAAATGGGTTTTGTAGCATCTGAAATGTGTCTCATATGCAAAAGTTTTGAGCTTGATTTTGTAGGCTAATTTTTTAGATTTTTCTTTTTGACTTCGAAGACAATTTTTATTTTTTAATATCTTATGCTAATGCAAAATTTGAAGGTACAAGTAAAAATTTGCTCTCTTGTGTTAGTGTTGAATTTAGCATTTTAGCATATACTATCTTCGGTTTTACGCTTGACACCAAAGATTGCTTTTGTTAAATTATAGTATGTCCTTCAAATTTCAGTTTTGTTATTAGAAATAATCCTTTTTATTTTATTTGTTCATTTGATACTTGGTCGTTACTGGTTAGTGTTCTGACTTAAAAGGAAAAACAAAACAAAAATTAAAATGTCATTTATGTACCGTATTGATAGCATTAGAGAAGAACACGAACCTATTATGCTAAATTTAGCATTTTCACACAATTTAGCGTTTTCATGGTCAGAAAAAAATGAATGTTTTATCGTTGTGGCATGATAAATGTTGCATTTAGAGTTTGATCTAAATTTTGTGTTGTTTGGAAACAGGTTGCACTTAATGAAGCTATCAGAGAAGCAGATGAGGAAGAAGAAGAAGGAGATTATGAGTTTCCTTTAGAGCAACCTACCACTCCGCGAACTCGTAATCGGCCCAAAAGGGAAGTTTAGACTTCCTTTAGATTTAGATAAATTAGGAAAAAGTGTGGAGATTTTGGGCTTTTCTTGTAGCACCCCATTATGTCCTTGTATTGTGATGACAATCTTAATGATAAATTAGAATGTTCATTTGTTGGGATTCCTCCAAACATTGTAGCAAAAGTAGATTGACTGTCTAATTTGTATCTGACATAAAATGTATGAGACAGTTACTATTAGCACAGAGAAAGAGTTCATCGACTATTGCAGGAAGAAAAACATAATTCAATATAGCAACATGAAGCATAAAAGCCATGACAAAGGTGAAAGGTCTTAATCTGTACTCTTCACAAAAAATGATTCAGAAAATTTCAAGTAGGTTGTCCATAAGCACCTTTATTCTGGAAAAGCTTCTTTTCAGCATGGTGTCTGCCATTTGAAACTTAAATGTCACATACATAGTAAGACAAAAAAATACTCCACAACAGTAATTTTCAGACAAGACTTCATAGTAATATGGCAATAAATGTATGAGCCAAAATACCACATAGCGATATCATGATACTTGATAACCGGCTTAGTGCACGATTCAGGTGACTTGACTACAACCAAATTTTTACAGCACTAACATGCAGAAGGTTTTCAGTCAAAAGGGTAAGTGCATGTAGTTTCTCAAATATCTGTACAAATTCAATGATTTGTTGAAGCAATGGTGATCAATAAAGTTGGCGATTCTATCCAAACTTTCAATTTGACAGCAGTGTGGAGCCCTTTGCTTTCAGCTTAGACTCTAAACCAAAAAATTTCAACCCAGAGACGACCAAGTCTGCTGTTTTCTTCTTCATGTGGTCAATTAGAATTTCATCATACACGATCGTCCTTGCTTCACTCATGAGTTTGCGCTCTCTCAAGTTCGAAAAAACCTTCCTAGCCTCCTCTATTGTGCCATGCCTACACATGCCAGAGATGACAGCAGAGAGCACAACATTATCTGGGGGACACCCTTCTTGCATCAGCTCATCCAGTACTCCAATGACCTTCTCTGATTTACCAGATTTGCACGCATGAAGAACGGTAAGAGCATACTTGAACTCCATTGACCCGCTACTCACACTGGCTAAGCAGTCCCGAACGAGCATCATGGCTGCATCGATCTCTCCAATATTGCATAGTCCTCTAGCAAGAGAACAATACGCAGAAACAGAAGGAACACAAGACATTTCAATTATCTTATTGTGACAAGCACAAGCCTCCTTGAGATCCCCCTCTTCAACAAAACATTCAATCGCGACACTGTAAGTTGACGAGTCTGGTTGAGCATTCATATCCTTCATTTCGTTCAACAATGATAGCGCTTTTTTTGCCATCTCAGTTTTGTAAAAAGCCTCCATAAGGATATTGTAGATTGAAACGCTATAGTAGCCTCTAACTTTCAAGTCCTCAAACACTTCCAAAGCCATCTTTAGTCCATCCCCCTTCCTTACCACAAAGGAGAAGAATTTGGTAAGATCATCGACAACAGAGATTCCCAATTTCTGCATCTGCACGAGCAAGTCACAAAACTCATCTATTTTTCTCATCTCAGCATAACACAACAATATGGGATTTATAGTCACAAAGTTCGGCCCCAAACCCTCTTGCACCGTCACTCGGAAAAGCTTGTATGCCTTATCAACCCGCTTTGCATTACACAATCCTTGAATAAGATAATTATAAATATCCAAATCCGCTCTATATCCCGAATTCACCAAATCCTTGAACACGTCACAAGCCAATCCAACTTTCCCATCTTCCACAAACGCCTTAACTAATGCCCCATAAATAGCCCTATCAACCAAAGCCCCTTTCCCCTTCATCTCCTTAAACAACTCATAACCCTTCTCCACCCTCCCTCCTTTACACAACCCAGCAATCACCGTGCCATAAGCAATAACATCCGGTTCAACCCGGTCGCTCCTCATTTCCTCCCAAACCCTCAAGCACCCATCCAAGTTCCCCTCCCCAACCATCACCCTCACCATTGCCGTGTAAGCGAAAACATCCGGCTTGCACAACTCCCCTCTCATCCTCCCCAAAACCTCAAGCATTTCCTCAACCCTCCCAGCCTTGCAAAGACCCTTTATCAAGATCATAAAAGTGACACTCTCCTCCACCAGCCCAGCCTCCTTAAAGTCCCCATAAACAGACAATGCCAAGTCCAAATACCCAGTTCTGACCAAAGCATCCATGACCCTATTGAACAAAAAGACTCTAGGCTTAATTCCAAACTTTTTCATATTCTCATAAGCATAATAAACTCTAAGACCCCTATTGGCATCAGAATGCATTCTTATCAAAATCTCAAACTGTTTCTCACTAGGAGGCTTGCCCTGAGCTTCCATGAGATGGGGGACCTGGTCGGCCGACCGGTACCGGTCGCCGCGGTTAAGGCAATAAGCAAAAGCGTTGTAGGAAGCAAAATTATGTCTATAACCCTTTTGTTTACCTGCCCAGTGGAAGAACTTGGACGCCAGAGAAGGGTCGGTTTGTACCTTGAGGACCTCGGTGACGAGGTTGGGGGTCACGCGGCGGAGCTTGTGGAGCTCGGTGACTACGGGTGGGCCCCACTTGGAGTGGTTCTTGCGGAAGGCGTCGGTGATGAAGCGGGCGATGGGGGAGAGAAAGGAGAGAGTTGGGGTGGTGGTGGTGGTGGAGGAGGGAGAGGGGAGAAGGTGTGGGTCCCATTTGGAGAGATCGGAGGGGGGCTTGTGGTGGTGGTGGGGGTTTTGGCGGGGTTTAAGGGATTGGCGATTGGAGAAGAGACCGCCGCGGACGGTGGGGCGGTTCTGGGAGGGCTTCCGGTGGACGTAGAAGAAGTAGAACTTCTGGGGTTTCCCCGGCGGTGGCTGCGCCGGCATCTCTCTCTCTCTCAAGTTACGTCCTTTACTTGTCTCGTATTTCCAAATTATTGGATTAACTTCAAATTTTGCCTCGAAGAAAGAGTTATTTAATTTTACCCCCTATATCTTAAAATGGAATAAACTCACCTTGAACTCGTTGTAAGCTGCAATTTTCGTAATTATTATAGGTCCGTTCACTTGCTGATTCGAGTTGAAATGTAATTTTATATGAGAACTTTTTACTGTAGTAAAAAGTTAGATGTGACCGTTTTTAAAAACTTTTTACTATAGTAAAATTCAAATTCTAAACTCGAATCGGCGAAGTGAACGGGCCACATTGACGCACCGGTTCTTGCTTGGGGTGCATAAAGGGCAGTTTTTTTAACAGTTTTAATCGCACATGGGTCACCAACGAGCTAATATGATTAAAACCGTTAAAGAAATTGATGTTCTAATGACAATTTATAAATTTACCTTCTTACTCTATTAGTAAGACTATTTCTAATGTAAATTTTAATGTTAATGATATGTTTAACGTAAAAAAAAAATATGATATGATATGTTATTTTTAATTTTATTTTAATACATAACGTTATTTAAAATGCTAAATTTATTTTCTTTTTTTTATAATTATTAAGCTTTGAAAATTGTAAAAGTAAACTTTTATTTTTAAAATAACTAAAAAATGTAAAAGTTGCATTGATTATATGAAAAAAGTAAACATTTTAACCAATAGTAATCAAATGTTAAATTTCTCATATGTTATATTTGGTGAGAAATTTACCACAAAGTATAATATATGAGAAATTTAATATAACAAATAGCATTGCGTGTTTTTTTGCACTCAAATATTAAATTTGCAATTAGCACATTAATTGTAACATTATATTAGAGATGCTCTAACACATTCTGGGTATTAGAGTTAATTAGATTTACATTTGATATTTCAATTAAGATTTATATGGCTGTATAAACCCTTCTTAGTAGTTTATTTAATTTTTTTTTTTCTAATTAAAATGGATATTCCAGCTCTAGCCCCTCTTTTCTCGCTTCCCTATTTTGCGATGTGTAATCTCACATGGTAGTACTGGTAGAGTTTCAAATTTATGGAAGTTTTGAAGTATGTTTTCATAAAGAAAATTTCATTCGGTATTGTAAATTTGTAGTACATAGTCTGCATCCTTTACACAGTTGCTAGAGTTAGAAGGTTCACGAAATCCGTCAATCTAATTAATTAGATTGATGTTTATGGGCGGGCTGATTGCTTTGTATTACAAGAGATTTTATATTGGTAACGGATTCAAATTTTCTCAATCTAAAAATGTTGGATTGGTTTGTGAATTAAGCATATTTCCATCTATAAAATATGTGAATCTGAACTATTTTATATTATAATATGTTTTTTGGGTTGTAAGAAATTCGAGAGTTTGTTGAACTATTTTATATTATGATATGATTATTTGGATTGTCGATGTTGGATTATTTTAAATTTTAAAATAATGTTGATAAATGATAAATGATAAATGGTAAAAGACTTCAGTTTGAGTTTTATTTACACGGATTTGTCATAATTGCTGGCTTGTAATAAATTAGTTTTTAAGTTTTTTTGGGTTTATTTTAATTTCTAAATTTTAATAAAAAAATGCGCATTTACTATGCTTTAAACTTTAAGAGCCTAAAATCCGTGATAATCTGTTAATTCAATATGCGTAATCTGATAGTTTTAAATTGGATTAGATTAGGAAAAGTATTGATCGGTAATTGGTTGGATTTTCTCAATCCAATCATTGGATATAATTACAAATTGAACCTTAATATGTTATTCCACTCCGTGAACACTATGTTTGGTCGGAGGGAGAGATAGAGGGAGGGAGAGTGGCTGGGGGAAAGGGTGAATTTCTTGTTTGGTAGGAAGGAGAAGATGAGGGAGAGGAGATAGGGAGGGAGAGAGTCTCCCTCCGGGTCCACCATTTTGGATCCTTCCATCAATAAAATGATCTAACCAATCTACCTAAATTTAAATAAAAATTACTTTTTTACTATTCAAAATTAATTATTAAAAAATAGTCAAATAGACAATATAGTAATTAAATAAATAATTAGCATCAATCATTTTAACTCTCTCTCAATCCAACTAAACAACACGAAAGATTACTATAATTCTCTCAATCTTTCTTACTTTCTATCTTTCTAACTCTCCATCCCTTCAACCAAACGAAGCCTTAGAAATGAGTTTCTTTATCTTTTGGAACACTTCACAGGAAATTGTTGTCCACGTCATTATAAATCTCGTGATTGTTATTTTTTTAATCTCTTTCGTTTTTGTTTTACATATTATTCATTTTTTGTAGTAGATTTGATTGTCACAGTGGCCGGGAAGCTTGAAACAAACGATTTGCTTTAGGTCATTCAGGCATTGTTCTTTTAACTATTTAAGTTCTATCAAAAAAATTGAAATTTAATTTTTTTATTTTTTTTCTCACATACATAATTCAAATTAAAAACTGAAATTGTGAAACAACAAGGCGATAGAAAACTATTCTTATTGGAGTCCTTTTTATTTATTTTTTATTTTTTTAACAATTGTATAGCTTACAAAAACGTATATTGTACTCTTTGTTATGAATGAAATTGCTTTACTTTTGACACGAATAGTGACAGACTTTCATTTTCACGAGATAAACTTCAAACTGCATTCAATTAATTTAATATAAAAACACAATAAGATTTTAACAACAGACCACATATCCTAGGAACATTCATGGAGGAATGAGGGGAAAAAAAAAAACAAAAGAAAAAAAATGAAAACAGACATGCATGCAAGAAATTAACACACGTAATGGCACACATATTAATATAAGGGGTCAAAATAAAAGGGTTCCGCCTTGTAGTACACGGCATTACTATGTCCTTGCTCATCACCACGCAGTTGCTGTACGACAACGTCGCGACAGTTAATCGGTGCTAGAAGGCTTCCACGGCGACCGGGGAAAACGCCACAGCCGGCAAAATTGCTACTAACAGCTATCCTACAGTCACTGCACTGGTTTGGATGAAAGATAGAAGACTGTAAAGTGTTGAGAGTAATCTTAAAAAACCCAGTTGTGTCTGTCAGAGCATTGCTGATGAGAGTTCTACCCCCATCACATGTCAATGCAACGTTTATTCCTTCCGGCAACGACGCTTCATTCGGTCGAGCCAGTGGAGGAAAAGGGCATTGTGCGGTGCCAAAAATGGTCACTGATTCTATTCCAGTGGTGTCTGAGATGATTTTTGGATCAACAACGTTGTCTAACAAACTGCAATTGACCATAATGCTCATGCAAATTATGGCCAGCGAAATGGAAAGGAGGAGGACGGATCGATACGCCATAATACAATTTGGATGTGCCCTTTTATGGAATTAGACGACAACAAAGGTGTTTCTGAAGGTTTTTTCTTTTGTTTTAAAAGTTTGTGAACAAGACCACCTATTTATAGGTTATAAGTATTACAATTTTTATTTGTTTTAATTGAGTATATATTAATCTTAAATACAGCTGTCTTAATTGTTGAAGTACCCAATTAATTAGTTTATGTTCATCCCACGTTATGCAGAAGCAAATACTATGGATGAAAAATAATTTACAACTTAGGAAGGAAAAAAATGCAGATCTCATTGATGTGATATTTCTATCTTATCGAACCACCTCCCACAATTTCTTTTTTCCTTCTCTTTTGCTAAATAATTACCTCCACGTATAAAACTAACAAATGAACTGCCTTTTTTGTTATTGAACTTGTATATATATCAAAATTAAGCTAAACAATCTTGAATGATATCTTTTGATCTGCTTTTAGGGAAAAAGAGCCCATTAGATTACGATTAGTCGTAAACACGTATAGCATAGCACAAAACCACTAAAACGATCCCATGTGTTATATTCTATTATAATATGCCAATACCATGTTATATTAGCTAAAACAATTAGAAAGCTATTTTAGTTAAGAATTTTTTACGAGTATACTTTCTATTTTAGCTTAATATAGATTATTTTAATATTTATTAAATTTAAAATATAAAAAACTTTATTGAATTTAAAAAGGAACCCTTGCTTAAAATTGTTTGAAAGAATAAAATAATAAAAAATTAGATGGTTAATTAGCCCTTTCTTACTAGTTATATAAGGCTAGTGTGAAATGCATTTTTTAAAATATAGCCAACCATTTGACTAAGAGTGTGTTTAGTTGGAGAGATGGATAGGGGTTGAGGGAGAGAGGTGAAGGGGTGGAGGGAGAGGGATAATCACTTGTTTAGATGGAGGAGGAGAGGAAGGAAAGGAGAGATATGGAAGGATGAGTCTCTCTTGGGACCACAAAATTGTATCTTTCCACTTATGGGAGAATTCATGAAATCCATCTCCATTATGCTTAAAAAAACTATTTTATCCTCTAAAAAGACTATTAGAAAATAATAAAAGGGTAGTATAGTATTTAACAATTGCACATTTAAACTCTCTTCACTCTTACCAAATAACATAAAAAATTGTCATAATTCTTTTCACCGTTTATATTCTCCATCCCTCCAACCCTCCATATTCTTCATACTCTATATCCCTCTTATCAAATGAAGCCTAATTATTAGAGTGGAGAAAAGAAAAAAAAAGATAATAATAATAATAATAATAATAATAATAAATTATTAGCAAAATAACGTAATGGTTAGAAATGTTCTGTTTATAATTTATAGTCTGCATCATTATAAGTTCCTAGAGTTGGTTTCTTTGTCTTTTGTTCACACCGTCCCCGACTTCATAAAGTTGGCAATTGGCTTATTTTATATCTTCTTGAAAGAGATGATTAGTTTCTGACTATTAATGTGCAAATGGATTAGAAAAACTATTAACGATTTGTATTAAAAGAAAAAAAAAAATTATAGCTTGTAGACAAGTACATATATTGTACACTCCTTGTTATGAATGGAATTGGTTTAGACACTTTTAAAGCGAATATTGATAGATAATTTGTGTTCATTCCACGTTATGCAGAAGCATATATTAATGCAAACCAATTGCAATATAACTACGAAGACGTAACGAAGAAAGCAAAAAAAAAACAAAAAACAAAAAACAAAAAAAATGCAAATCTCATTGATGTGATATTTCTATCCTATCTTATCGAATCACCTCCCACATTCTCTTCTTCTTCTTCTTCTTTTTTTGGCCACCTCCCACGTATAAAACTAACAAATGAACAGTCCTTTTTATTATTTGTGCATGGGAAAAAGTTCCCATTAGATTACGATTAGTCGTAAACACGTATAGCATAGCACAAAACCACTAAAACGATCCCATGTGTTATATTCTATTATAATATGCCAATACCATGTTATATTAGCTAAAACAATTAGAAAGCTATTTTAGTTAAGAATTTTTTACGAGTATACTTTCTATTTTAGCTTAATATAGATTATTTTAATATTTATTAAATTTAAAATATAAAAAACTTTATTGAATTTAAAAAGGAACCCTTGCTTAAAATTGTTTGAAAGAATAAAATAATAAAAAATTAGATGGTTAATTAGCCCTTTCTTACTAGTTATATAAGGCTAGTGTGAAATGCATTTTTTAAAATATAGCCAACCATTTGACTAAGAGTGTGTTTAGTTGGAGAGATGGATAGGGGTTGAGGGAGAGAGGTGAAGGGGTGGAGGGAGAGGGATAATCACTTGTTTAGATGGAGGAGGAGAGGAAGGAAAGGAGAGATATGGAAGGATGAGTCTCTCTTGGGACCACAAAATTGTATCTTTCCACTTATGGGAGAATTCATGAAATCCATCTCCATTATGCTTAAAAAAACTATTTTATCCTCTAAAAAGACTATTAGAAAATAATAAAAGGGTAGTATAGTATTTAACAATTGCACATTTAAACTCTCTTCACTCTTACCAAATAACATAAAAAATTGTCATAATTCTTTTCACCGTTTATATTCTCCATCCCTCCAACCCTCCATATTCTTCATACTCTATATCCCTCTTATCAAATGAAGCCTAATTATTAGAGTGGAGAAAAGAAAAAAAAAGATAATAATAATAATAATAATAATAATAATAATAAATTATTAGCAAAATAACGTAATGGTTAGAAATGTTCTGTTTATAATTTATAGTCTGCATCATTATAAGTTCCTAGAGTTGGTTTCTTTGTCTTTTGTTCACACCGTCCCCGACTTCATAAAGTTGGCAATTGGCTTATTTTATATCTTCTTGAAAGAGATGATTAGTTTCTGACTATTAATGTGCAAATGGATTAGAAAAACTATTAACGATTTGTATTAAAAGAAAAAAAAAAATTATAGCTTGTAGACAAGTACATATATTGTACACTCCTTGTTATGAATGGAATTGGTTTAGACACTTTTAAAGCGAATATTGATAGATAATTTGTGTTCATTCCACGTTATGCAGAAGCATATATTAATGCAAACCAATTGCAATATAACTACGAAGACGTAACGATTGCAATATAACAACGAAGACGTAACGAAGAAAGCAAAAAAAAAACAAAAAACAAAAAACAAAAAAAATGCAAATCTCATTGATGTGATATTTCTATCCTATCTTATCGAATCACCTCCCACATTCTCTTCTTCTTCTTCTTCTTTTTTTGGCCACCTCCCACGTATAAAACTAACAAATGAACAGTCCTTTTTATTATTTGTGCATGGGAAAAAGTTCCCATTAGATTACGATTAGTCGTAAACACGTATAGCATACCACAAAACCACTAACGATCCCAAATCTTACATTTTGCTGAGGGCGGATATATATATTTTTATAAAACATAAATAACATAAGAAAATGTACAATAAATTACATTATAATATTTTTCAAGAGCTATTAAATACATATTGTAAATTTTATTATATGAATAAATACGCCGGCATTGTGGCCCTCAAATTTTCAACACTTATAGGCTCCGGCATTTTCTTATATTGGCCCGACCCCCAATCGTGTTCCACTACGATATGAATCATTAATCCACTATAAAATAATACCATACAATACGCTAAAAATGAGCCGTATTTAATAATACGCCATAGACCGTATTAATTTACCATCCATATTAATTTATAAATACAATGACAACACTAAATATTATATTATTATATTATTATACAATACGGTGCTCTAATACGGTCAAACAAACATGCCATAACATTCCATGTTCTTATATACGGATTTTGAAAAAAGAAGACGGTTTTTTATTGTTTTCTTGTTTCTCTAATTTCAATTTGACCGTTGTTTAGAGTTTATGTATGCATATAAAAGCATGTCTAAACTGGGCCCATTTTGTTTTATATACTCAAAATCAAATTTATTAATTCTGTTATAGTGTTTTCCTCTCACAAAAGAATTTAAATTTTAAACGTCAAAATTAAGAATCATAATTTAAGTATACCTTGCAAACAGGCTAATCTCTCAATTATAGAGGATTTTAAAGCCCGCAAAACCGCAAATTGAATTGCACGAACCACATTAGTCATATCCGATTCGAAGACCCACTTAGTGATCCAAAGATGCCGCGAAATTAACACCTTCCCTTGCTGTTGTTGACCTCTCTCCTATCGAGCCAGAGTAGTTCGCCGAAAGATCTCTCTCACCTTCCCATGTCTCATTTCGTTCATTCAATGATATCTTGGTGACATTCATTTCATTTCTTCTTAGGAATTGAAGCCAAACGTACATCAACTGCTCTAGTCGTTACTCGTTGAAAAGTTCAACGCGAGTAACGAGCCTAGAAACAATAAACCTTTTGTAGTCTCTAGAAACAAAAACCCATGTCGTTTCTAATATGCAAACTGCTATTTTAAAGCCTGCCCCCTTTAGGTTTAGTTTTGTAGTGCTGTAGATTTAAAAAAAAATTACTTTTAGCTGTTGATTAGTGCATGAAAATGCACCATAAATATTGCTTTTGATTTATATAATATTAAAATATTTAAGCTTTAATTAAACAAATCCATTATTTTTATTCATAATATTTTTAATTGGAATTTGTCTAGTTTTTGCTTAATTATTTGCAGATAAAAAAAACAGTGTAAAAAGCTACACAAAAATAAGCCATGAAAGCCATGTTTTCAAC